AAACGTTTCAATACCCGGCTAGATAAAATCTTCTGTAGCCGGGTAATGAAAAATTTGCAGGAAAAGAACCAAGCTCAGAGAACCCCAAGGACTCCACAGACACACATTGGAGAACTTCAGAAATGTGCTCACACTGTGACTATTGTTACACTTTGTAACCACTCTAAAATGCAAAGGAGTTGGCATTTTTATCCTTGTGGTGTTTATATGGTGGGCAGATTAAAAAAAAACAACTTTGGCATAAAAATCACATCCCTTTACACTCTCTATGTCCCTTTTATTGAATCATTTATGCAGAGGCAATGTGCCTCTGACATTTAGGAGATATCAATGTTTCACCAACTACCATTCCCAGCACTTTCTTTTCATTTAAAGTAACTGTAAGCCCCTCCTCTCTCAGTTTGCTTAAGACTATATGGATGAGTTTGCTAAGCCAGAAATGCACAATTTACCAAACCAAACAACCAAAAAGAAAGGCCATATTTACCTAAAAATTCATATAAACAAACAAGTTTCTTGCACCCCTTCTAATTTCATTCTGTTCCAAATAATAACAGCAGTGCTACTGAGCACTATAGTAGGCTTCTCCATCTCATCTTCTTCTAGATCTTCAAGTTCCAGAAATCTCTGCAATGGCCATGACTTTGGAAATTCCAAGCATTGATATCCACTTACCTGGAGAGGGCCCAGTTTGAGGACGTCTACTCCGTAGTGCCAATTGTATTTCTAGGTCCCTTGTACTTCTGAGCATTTGGAAGCATTTCATAACAGCTGCTGAGATTAGAATGCTGGTAACCCTTGGTAAGGAATACTAGCATTGTGGCGCCCAGAACTGTAGGACACCAATGACACAGCAACCATATTTGTTAAGTATCCCATTAGTTCTGACGCATGCTGCATTTCACTCATATACCTCTTTTATTGAATTCAACAACCAACCTGTAACTCATGAAACAATTTCATGAAACCTATTCACTTATCATATGCTTCTCTAAATGGGCAAATGACATAAAATCAAACCTTCCTGACAAACGTACAACCTCGCTACACTTCCTAGATTTTGCCCATTGTCACTTTTTATACCCTTTTGTTCAGAATTCTGCCAAATATCTTCCCAGGCACACTAATAAACTAAACTCCCAGTAGTTTCTGCATTCATTTTTGTCACATTGCCCATTGTATAGAGGAAGAATCAGAAGATTTTTCTAATTATCAGGTTCAGATGCATTCTCTGTACACATATTAAATAAATAATACAACCACTTCATAGACAAACTACTTCTGTACTTTAGTATTTCTGCAGGCAGCATTGCCATTTTAACATTGTCCTAATATTTATGACTTCAAGAGTTTTTTTCTTGGATACTAACATTTATTTTGACCCCATTGTTTGATGTATCACTATCATGTTCATAAATCAGATTAATATGGCTTTATTCTTACTTTCCCATAAAAATTTATAAAGCATTTCCAGGATTCCTTCATTTCAATTTTATCCCAAATTACTTCACTTTTATTTTTAATCTCATTTACTTTGCTGAAAGCTCCCTGTTTGAAATCCTGACTCCACTTCCAAAACAATATTTTATTTCCATCAAAATTGTTCTGCATTTCCTGCCTCTTTTAATCTAAACAGCTCCTTGCTCCTTGAGTACATTCTTTGCAAGTTGTTCTCTCTCTATTGGTTGTACAAAATCTTTATCTTTTGTAGCAATTATTCTTTTATACGCAATTTCCTTATCTACAGCCTCTTTCATTTCATTCCATTAAGATGATTTTTCATATTTTGCACTAGTGTAACTACACACAACTTGTGTGGCACTCTATAATTATTTTCATGGTGTTCCAAGAAGCTTCCACAATCTCTCTTGTCTACTCTCCAGTTATCCTTTTGGGAGATTAATCTAGCTACACTTTTCATACAGGACTTGTACGTATTATTCCTGAAATCATTCACTGTCATGTCTTTCGCTCTTTTCTTCTTTTTCATGACCATTTTTTCTTAAGGTCCACTCTGGTCACTACCAAAAATGGTCTGTCCCATACTTTAAATTCTCGTCAGCCATGTATTCTTCCAATTCTCTGAAGCTTCCATCATAAACGATCAATCATGCTTTAGATTTACATTCATTGCTGTTTTGTGAATAGAGCTACATGCAAACCACCAGTATTTGAAGCAACACTGCTTTTCCCAAGCAGATACCATTAAACAGTCACCATTCTCATTCAGTCTTGGATCTCTGGAAGGTCCAATCACTTTTTAAAATCTTGTTTCCAATTACTGAATAACTGAAAGTGAAGAAGGGTTGAATCTGGCAAACATGTTTTCACAAGACAGAGTGCATTAAATAAATATAAATTTTATTAAAAACACCCACATTTCAGCATTATCAGGAATGATATAATAAAACAGCTTTTCAAATAACCTGCATTCATTACATTAAAATACTTACAGTATTTATAACCATTCTCAGATTTTTTTAAGGACAAAATAAAATTTTGAAAAATGAGTGAGAGTAAAAAAACAAACACCCAAACAGCAGAACATAAATTTAGAAATGCACACATTAAAAAAGTCAATAATCTTAGTGTCGAACTGTTGGAGTTTCTATATAAAAGATAGCCACTATGTTTAATAGTGAACTTTAATGCTGCTGCACATTAATCAAGTTGAAGAAAACAATCATTCAAGTAAAGTTGACACCACTCAGAAACATTTCAAGTATGGCTATAATCAACCTGATAATCCTATACAAGCAATTTTGTATTTGCTTTGTCTTTCTGTCTCACTCTTAGGCAAGGTTTTATACATGAATATCACAACTTCTATTTACAAGATGCATTTCTCCTCCCCACCCTGACATCTCCATCCTCAGCTAAGATGTCTTCTGTTTGTAAGCAATTTGGCAGGGGAAGAGGGTTCAGTACAAAGATGTCCTTCTACATAAGGAAAGGGCATAGATAGGCTGCACTGTACTTGGAGCAGACCACTGCATAAGAAAAATGAAAGTAAATCCAACAGTGTACTTCCACTTAGGCAATCTCAACATGCTGATGAATGAGAAATGATGTACAACCTACCAATGATAACAGTATGTAAACACTTTTGCACAAGGTAGGGAAAATCACAAAGCTGCCTATCACGTATAGGTAGTCCTTGCTTACCAACCACAATTGGGACTGGCAACTCTGTTGCTAAGTGCCACAGTCACTATGTGAAAAATCGTGACCACACTGGACTTACAACCTCACTTCTGCTTCTATCATTAAACGAATCACTGCAGTCATTAAGTGAGACATCACATGACCGTGACTTGCAATTTCACTTCCACATTCTCCATTAATTCTGCTTGCTGGAAGCCAGTTGTGAAGCTTACAAATGGTGATCACGACTGCAGGGTGCTGCGACGGTCATAAATGCACACTGGTTGAGAAGTGCCTGAATGGCAATCACATGGCTGCAGGATGCGGTGATGGCCATAAATGCAAGAATTGGTCGCAAAGCTATTTTTTTTCCCAACTGCCATAATTTCGAACGGTCGCTAAGCAAGGCAGTTGGTAAGCGAGGACCACCTGTATTGTTGTTTGGGAGTCCAATCTGGTTTGTATTTTAATACCTTTAAGCAGGTAGATTTATGCAAAAATAACTAATGAAAGGAAAGCTTCAATTAACCTGATAGACAAGTGCTCCAATCCAACAAAGCTCATACATTTATACATCAGCAGGCCAACAGAGAACCACTGGTTTTGATTTATTCAAAGTGAGAATGTATCATCATAGAGATGATCTCAAAATGTAACTGCCCTTGCCTATACCAAGGCATCTATATGCACATCAGAGCTCTAGTTTTGGGTGATTGTGTAAATATAATTAAGCTCATATATTTAAAGTGAGAGCAGTGAGGCTGTGTAGCTGTAGCACTGCGTATGCTCGATCATGGCATATTCAATTAAGAATTATAATTAGATAAAACTCAATTAAAGAAAAAACTAAGACAAGGCATTGGTCCTGCAAAGGTTACTCTTTATGCACTTTGATAATTCCACTGGTATCAATGGGAAATTGATTGTGTAAAACAGTGTTGTCCAAACTTGGCCACTTTAAGATGAGTGGACTTCAACTCCCAG